GTCTTGAGGTCTCTGCACAGGTTACCCAGCCACTTGTCTTTTTTTTTTTCTATGACGGTATTTAAAAGGGAAATTATTAGTCACCCTGTGTTAACATGGTTAAAAACAATAACTGATTTTTTCGCGCAATATCAGAAGTGCAGTAAGTATTTTAGCAGTTTTACAGGCTGGTAATTTTTTATATGTGCAGCATGGATTCAAATTTAGTAGCTGACTGATGGTGAACAGTTTGATTTGATATTTTGCTCACCTTCGGTCAACTACTAAATTTGCATCCATGCAACAGGATAACGTGCTACTAAATGTGTCCAACGGTCAATAGCTTAGTATCAGTACAAACTGTTTCACACCTATTCCCATTTTCTGTACGTAATCGAGTTTTGTGAAGTAGGTATGTTCAAACCTTGGACACAATATGTGTGATCGAAAACAGGGATTCTTTTTTTTTTCTCGCGACATGCGCAACTTCCTTTAGGATTGTGTATCTGTATGATTAGTTTGCTTTTTCTGCGGCAGCCCTCCATTTCTTGGTATGATGAATTAGTAGAGTAATCGCTCTGTTGTCTCGAGGCGTTTAAATTCCCTCCTTGCATTTCTTTTGCGAGAACAACCCTGAACCTTGACCAGTTTTTTTTTTTTCGTCCATTGGCAAATGAAGTCTGAAGACCTCTTTTTCTATAACGATCATGGGATCCTATACGTCTGAAAATAATTGCAACAGTCAATAAAGGAGCGAAAGTACTGGACATATGTACGACATTAATGGGCTTTCCTGACCTGCGGAACCTATGTTTCTCTTCGGATGAGCGTTGTGTAACACTTCAACTTACTACATGTTAACCTTTTCACTGAGTTGCGTAAATTATACTCTTCGTGGGGAATTTCCATTTCTACATAGAGTCTTACAATATATTTTTACATACGTATTGTTTTGGCTACCCAGAGTTAATTTTTCCCTTAAAAACCTGCCTCCCTATTTTACTATTTCGTTTTCTTGAAACAAACGTTTGCTGGAACCAAAGTTCTCATGCGATCAATGTTCCGTTAACCCTTATAATTTTTTTGCGAAAGTAACAATTACACTTTTCCTTAAATGAAAACGCATTCCCCTCCTATCAAATTCATAGGCATTGGAGTTTATCCGCTCAAAAACTGTGCATTGTTAAGCATCGTAAAGAATTATTAAAACTATCCTCCTCTCCTCTCCAATTCACTTTTAACAAGAGGAAAACAAAGAACTTCAAAAAAGTGAAACTTGTATACTTGAGGATGTCAGTACGTTAACGAAGATTAATGTATAGGTAGCCATAAAAGCCAACACACTACCTTGCTGTATATTTGAAAACGTGCCGAACGAAAATTGTAGTCTTTTGACAAGAAAAAGACCAAAAGCAAAATGAGCCCGAAAATCCCCTAGAAAAGAACAAGGAAAGGAAAAATAGAAAGAGTGAGGAGAAGGAGAAAAAAAAAAGCAATGGCTGCAGTATTAGCTGTTATGTTGACTTCCTTGGAAACAGAAAACTGTCAGTGATGGTAGAGCTCTGTTTTGGCTGTAACCTTCTAAAACAGAAATCTGATTAAAAGAAGGAATATATTTTTAAAGCCAATGATTAAGTAACGGCCTTCATTTTTTAGATTCAAAGCTTTACGACTAAATTTGTTGTAGTTTTACAGCCAACAGTTCACTCTCTTGCTCTGTAAGCCTCCTGTTATTTGGGGTTCCTCAAGTGCAGCATGGGTCTCCTTTGCAAAAGCCAACCGTGTATAAAATTTATCCTTTTTGAAAAAATAAACACTTCGTTTTATCACCGAAAACTTGGTAGCAGTTATTCTTTCTTCTTTCACTTTTCCTTAAATGTAACAAACACATTTTACGCATTTTTCGTTTTAACGTATAATTCAAATAACGTGGGTCCCCTGTGTTTAAAGCGTAAAATGTTTAACGCTTAATTTTGACATGTTCCACCGATCGGATTTTGGCGGATTTTTAGTATGTTGCTAGATAGGCCACCCTTACTTAAATGGCGTTGAAAAAATTTCTGTTGCAATTAGGTTGATATTGAGCCTCGCAAATGCCTAGATTGACTGGACTATAAGAAACTGTGTTGTACTAGAAAATTTATTTCTTCGCGCCCCCTTTGCGTTCTCGGTGCTTTGATATAACCTTTTAATTCCTTCTTTTTCAAAAGCCTGCCATTTACTTTTACATAAGCAGGAATTGGGACTGACACAACCCAAGGTCATTTACTGTACGTGATACCACAATCAATTTAGGATAGACTGTGAGATAAAGTTTCAAATCGTTGTTTTTGCGGAGGCCACAAACTGAATATATATATATATATATATATATATATATATATATATATATATATATATACAC